TTTCTAGAGGTTGATACCAACTTAGTGCATGTGCTGCTTGCCCAAGTAGGAAAGATTATTACTGAGCTCATGATGCAGTCTTTCTGTCCTCTAAGGGAGCATCAGTTAACAAAACGTGCAGGAATTTTATTTATTTGAGACAGACTCTCTCCCTGATACTGCCAGGAGTTGCTGGATGATAGGCAGCACAATTAGTAAAGCTTACTCGCTTTGGAATCCTTGTTGAAGCTATGAATGGTACATGTCTATCTTGACAGTTTATTTTTTTCCATCTCTCTTATCCAGTGTTGCCCTATAACTAGACATGTAGACATTTCAAGAGTATAATTTTCAGGTTTTTCATGATGTGTGCATACAACCAAAGCCTTTTGACATCTGCAGGTTTCTTTATAGACTGTTTGCAATAATAAGACCATCTTGACATGTGACAGTAGTGACTTTGGTAAACTACAACTAGAAAAATATCTTTATCAGAAAAGAGAGCTGCACAGGGAGTACTCTAATTTTTAAATACGTGATGGAAAATGGACTCCTACTTTCAACAGCTCTTTGTCTAATCAAGTTCATTACCATTACTGTTAAACCAGACATTCTGAAACAGTAATGCTAATTTTCTGATTTTCGGAAGTATCTCTAAGATATTGTATGACAATTAGTCAAAGCTAGGTTTTACTGAAAAATGAAATAGTAAAATGTCTTTATTACATTCCGGTAGTATTGCATGTTGTTGTGGAAGACATAGGGTTGTTCAGATTACTTTAAAAATCCAGTGTGAACAGATACTTGGTAACAACAGGAATTTGCATACTGATACATTGAAATTAAATTAGTTTCAGATTAATCAAGTTAAATGTTTTGTAAAATCCTAAATTCTCAAGTAGGTGGCTTTTATGTATTTTTTAAATCAAACATAACTTGTAATAGATCTCATATTTTTCTTTTTCATAAGAATGCAAAATTAAAGTTGGTTTTGGATGAATCTACCTTATTTGGAGGAAGTAATTTTAAACACCAGACAAAAAGAGAATGATTGTAGTAATAATATGTGGAGCTTGGAACTTTGTCTACCCAACTTATGGATATTTACATTACAAAGAAGAATCGAAGTGCCTTGCTAGACTGAAAGCATGATTTTAACGGTTAAGCACAGTATAGTAAACAGCTTTTCAGTTTATACTCCATTATTAGTGTTTGTTTATAAATGTCACCAAGCATAGCATGCTAAAGATGTTCACTTGCTTTCTCTTCAAACCTATAAAATCACTTGGTTTCTATTTTATTTATGTACTTATATAGCCTTAGGGTTTTGGTTTTTTTTTAATTTTTGAAATCATAAACAGTTTTCTACCCTAGCTGTCCAACTTCTAGCTAAGCCCCTTTTTACAGTCACTTTGACCTACATTCTGTGTTAATCTTACGTGATGCTAAAATTAAAGTGCTAATGCCACTGCTTCTTACTTTAAACTGCTTCCATATTGCAGAATAAATTGATGTTAAAAAAGGGAAAATCTTAATGTTACTGATAATTAATCAATCCTGCTTTGTATTGAGTAAAGATTATTTATATTTTATCTACTCACTAAAACTTTTAAGATGTAATCCTAACCATTTAGCCCTAACCATTTTGATCATATATGCAATGTAGTCTATAAATCTAAAGTAACACTGCCATGGTTTTATATCATATCTACAGGAGGATATTTTACTTGGAGGGTGTTAGGCAGAAAAAGTGTTGTCTGCTTAGAGAAACCTAATACAGAAAATAAAACACTGCTGGTTTTATGGCCAGTGCTCCAGGAAGATAACTTTCTGTAAGCTGCTTTACCTTTTGTAGATACTACTTTTTTCCTGTTTGAAAATGACTTTGTGATGTTGCTATTGGAGTCCAAACCCTTTATGTCTGAAACCAGATAGTACATATGTAACAACACATGTAAAATCTCTGTCTTTTTTCATTTGAGTGGTGGTTTGTTTCCAGAGTAGTTTTAGTTACTTGGTTTCGTACTTCTGTATTAGTGTTTTGGCAGAAGCTTGCCTGTTTTTAAGAAAAGTACACTGAGTTGTTCCCTGTAATAACTGAGATGTTTTGCTTATTACGTATTTAAACTGCTAGTTGTCCAAATTAGCAAAGACCAAAGTTTTGGGTTTAAGTTTCAGTTCAGAGTCTCTTGAGAAAACACACACTTCCATCTTTGAGGCTTTTGTTAACATTACATTAGCAAATATTAAAGATAAACCCAGAGAATCTAGAAGAAAATGCTAACCAGAAAGAACAAAATTATTGGAAAGCATATCTGTCATAACAGATGCTATTTCTTAACTGCTATTTTCATTTTTACATCTCAGAATTTTTTTCTTGGTGCTGAACTGTAAATGCCATATTCCTTTGGATATTCTTGGCTTACACACTCTCTTTCAATTAACGCATTTTATTGAATGGAGGGATGCAGAAGACTTTTCTTTGGATGAATTACAGCTGGTCCACTGACTGCACTTGAGTCATTATAATTACTGTCTTATTGACTTAGAGTTTTAACAGTTTCTAAGTTATAAAAACCCTTTAGTAGTTGATAATAATTACCATCTCCATGGATTATATGCAAAAATCTAGAATATTAAGTGTATTAATTGTTAAGAGGGTTTTTTTTTAACCTTTCCAAAAGAAATAATTGCCTTTCTGATACAAATGTTCAGACAGAATTGAATAAAGAGGCCATATAAGCCCCTAAGTAAATTAAAAACTGAATGTTTTGGGTGAAAACATTGAATTTTGGAAGTAAGATACATGCATACCCATTCTAAACTGTAAGTATACTTACAAGAAGCTCAGAGAATGGCCACGATAATGATCTGAGGGCTGGAGCACCTCTCCTATGAGGACAGGCTGAGAGAATTGGGGCTGGAGAAGAGAAGGCTCCAGGGGGACCTTATAATGGCCTTCCAGGACCTGAAGGGGCTACAGGAAAGATAGGGAGGGGCTTTTTACAAGGGCATGTAGCAAGAGGACGAGGTAATGGATAAAAACTGGAAGAAGGGAGATTAAGGTTAGACATCAGGAGGAAATTTGAAATGCATTAGTGTGAGGCTGGAGAGACATTGGAACAGGTTGCCCAGGGAAGCTGTGGATGCCTCATCCCTGGAAGAGTTCAAGGGCAGGTTAGATGGGGCTTTGAGCAACCTGGTCTAGTGGGAAATGTCTCTGCCCATGCAGGGGAGTTGAAACTAGGTGATCTTTAAAGTCCCTTCCAACTCAAACCATTCTGTGATTCTATCATATATTAAGTAAGTGGGGATATAAAGAAGAAGGAAAGATTAATTAGAATTTTGCTCATTAAGTTCATAGAGGACTGAATATTTTTCACAGGAAGTGTAGTAACCTTGGTGTCTAATTTAACTTCTCGTGCATTTAAAATCCACTTGGTTGTAATCAGACAGTGGTACAAGTGCAGTTTTGTTCCATATGATGCTTTAGTATAAATATTACTTGGAATAAGTCAGCTCGTCTGGATTATCTTTGTGAAAAATAACACTAATTTCTATTTGTTCATATTAATAGAAAATAACAACCTTGAGTAATAGTTTTTCCTCCTAGAATGGATTGTCTGAATGTTATAGAAAATAGATAGTCAGTCTAGTAGTTAGTGCTGAATTTTCAAATGTATTCATGGGCCTTGGCATAACTGTTAGTGTTGTGACCATTGTACCTAGGTTATAGTCCAGAATGATATAGCAAATTGTCTTAAATCTGACACAGTTTTACATTTTTGTTATCCCAGCATTTACCTAAATGTTTTTCATATAAAGTGCTGGTAGTGTTGTCTCCCCAAGCTGTCCATCAAGTTAAAAATCTTGTGTGGAACTTGGCTAGAATTGTCATACTTTCTGTAGCACATTATGGCCTTGATAGGATAAACCTTTTCTCATTTGTTTTCATTCAAAAAGTGTTGTAGGGTACGCAGCCTTTTCCTTGCCCATTGTTTTGACTGGCAGCCTCCACTGTCTTTGTCAGTTACTTGTTATGCTTCCAGGATTCTTTCCTGATCTATCATTCTGTCTTCTTTCCTTCCCTATTCAAGTGTCATGAATTGGTCTGTGAGACCATGATTCATCATTTTGAAGAGACATTTTCCACTGAGTAACAAGATTTTCTTCAGGGTTCTGCAAACTAGCCTTTCCCTCTTGCCTGCTAAGAAGCTGACAACTTCATGCTATAGATGTGGAAACCACTGCTTAACATGTTGACGTTCATCACTACTTTATTCTCTTTTTTTTTCTCCCCTCTCTCCCTTTGATTTACATTTAGATTTCAGTTTTTTTTTAGGGGACAGTCTGCCTTTTTTAATGTAGGAACACAAAGGTACTGATTGGATTGTTAAGTCTGCTTTACAGGGCAGCTTGAAACTCTTCTTGTATCTTCAGTCATTGAAAAGCACAAACCACTTCTCTACATGGTAGCAATACTCTATATTAATTGAAAAAAACAAACATCCCTTTTTCTTCTTTCTGTTGGCAAAAAGGAGAAATGTAAAAACTTCAGCTGTGTTCGCAGTGGCTCGGAACAGGGAGTTTTGGGCTGTACTTGTTGTAATGATGATAGAAATGTTTTGACATAATAAAAAGTTAAAAAAACTCTGATAACGACAGATGGAACATGTTCACCAAGCAGAATCACAAACAAGGACAATTGTTCCAGCTGGTTTAACATATTCCATCACATATTTAAGAATCAATTTTTAAAGGAGCTGCAGGCAAGGGAATGTAATGGATCTTTGCCTCTGGATGTATGTTTTAGGTGAAAATGTTTGGTAGGTTCTCTGCGTTTGAACTAAGTAATTCTCTCTTAGTTTTCAACATTGCTAAATCTACCACATCTGTAACTAATGTACAGAGCTGAAGGTGGTTATGTGACTGGGTATGCGAGTAAGGGTAACTTCAAGGAAACAGCTTAGCTAATGTGAAGTTATACTTCAACTAGGTCAATGTTCTGGTGTTAGGTATCAGAAGAGATCTAGTGCAATGTATTTAATAGTTCTTAAAATATCTGCCACTCATGAACTAATAGGAAATTAGGACAGGTATGTACATCCATATACCTCATGTACTGAAATGGTGCTTTCTTGAATGGCATGGTATGAAAAAAAAGAATTATTTTTAACTATAACTTCGAAAAACTTCTCACTGCATATTATCTTTAGTTGTTAATCCACCCTTTCTTTGCCTATTTAACTTGCTTTTTCTTAATTTTAAAGAGGATGCAGGTATTTCTTGAAAAACGTGGCAGTTCTGTTAATGTAATTTGAATAAATGAATTAATAACGAAATCATAGAAATCATAGAATCCTAGGGGTTGGAAGGGACCTCGAAAGATCATCTAGTCCAACCCCCCCTGCCAGAGCAGGGTCACCTATATTTTCTTTGTATTTGCTTTTCTTCATTGACTATTTTTGATATGGATGGTATGTTTGGCACTAGAGCAAGATGAAAAGACTGAGGTAAGATTAGATGATGTGTTTTCTTTAAAAAAAAACACAACAAAAACCCAACACCTTACTGTGCTTTATTTAGGAACTTGGCAGGACACCAGGAAATCAGGCTGGAAGGATGATGGAAGGACAGGTTTCACAACAGACATTACATTTTCGCAACCCGTATTCGGAGGAAAATGGACCAGTTCCTGCAGTGCCAAGCAGACTTCCAGTATTGCAATATGGAAACCCTTATGCAATTCAAGAAAGAAGAGGTAAGTACATTTTCTCCTCCCCCAACCTCCCCATAATACCTCTCTCACTGTTTCAGAAGCAATGGCTCATTCAGTGTAGGTTAAGTACCAGAAATTTTTACGATGCTCCTTTATTGGTTGATTAAAATTGAATAAAGTGCCTTTATTTTACTGTTGCGAGTCAAAAAGGTAAACAAAGTTTTAAGGAAACAACTTTTGAAAAAGATGATTTCTATCATTTTATATTATCTTAACCAAAAATGTGTTTAAGTCTTGATTTTTAACTGTAAGGTTAAAATCTATAATCTCAAAATACAAACTCCATGGAACAAAGGTGCTCTAATTTATTTTTTTTAGATGGAGCAGATGGTGCTTTTAATCCTGATGAGATCCAGAGACCACCTGTTAGAACTTCTTTCTGGGAGCTAGAAGATGACGTAGTGTGCAGTCAGCCTTCACGCAACCTTAGTCGGCCTGATGGTTTGGAAGATCCTGAGGATAGCAATGCAAGTTACCTTTTTAATTACTTTTTTCCTTGATACATTTACTAATGAGTAATCCGAGTTGCACATAGGTTTTCAGTATCTGATAAACCTGATTTATTGTTATGTTAATCCAGAATTGATTTTTCTTTCCCCTGAGCAGTATTTTCTGCTTGCTTTGCAGGAGAAAACTCTGCACATCAATTGATGGTAATAGACTTGTTCCCCCAGTCTTGAGTTACTGACACCTTGTTTTGGTATTAGAACAGTAGCCTCTTAATATTTTAAAGAACTGAAGTAGAAAAAGCCAAACCGTCTCAACTCATTAAGATTTTTCTCTCCTATGATGTAGAATGGGGGCTTAATATGTAGCCACATCTTAGTCATTTTAGAATTTATATATAGGAAGTAAATTATATTGCAAAAATGCAAAGTTAAAGGATTCAGATGCCAGTGTTTTTAGTGCTGAAGAAAGATTTGTATCAGATGCTTCATTCTAATCTATTAATCTTTTGTTCTATCTTCTGAAAATCTGCATTTATTAATTTACATTTGGAATGCTTTTTGCTATTAGTCTGGTATTTGGAAGAGCTAGTGGACCATTACCTAAATCTGGTTAAACTGAAAATGACAGATTGTCACTGATTTATGTTTAGGGCTTTATGTTTTAAGTGGCAACGAGTTAAGTTTTTTAGTACAGTTAACTTGTACATTCTAGTATAAAATATGGCTTTAGTAAATTGGCTTCTATGAGAAACTGGTCTGTATTCCTTCATTTTAGTAGGAACAGACTTAACTACTCATTTCAAGTACTCTTGCACCTTCAAAAATATTAAACAAGAAATACCTTTCTCCAAGGTATTGTGCTCTTTGCAAGTACAGTGGTATCATGACCTGTTTCTCATTTAGTCTAGTTTGCCACACTTAATTGCTATTAGCCTTTGCAGAAACTGATCAGTGTTCAGACAGGCATGATTTTAGCCCTGGTGCTCAGCACCTATAATGGAGAAAAATGTATTTCTTCCTCCTACCTTTTGCCCCCGGTGTCCATTACTGTGAATAATTAGAGAAACTGTCAGAACTTTTGCAGCCTGTTTGAGATCCAGAATGTGAGCTTAATGCTGGTGCCCACCTTTACTTCACATTTTGCATATTTAATCTGATCATTCTTGACATAGATACTGCATATGACAAGCTTTTCTCATCTCTAGGCATCTGCTTCAGTTTAATTAGCAGGATGTTCTTTCTGATCTATATGCTTTGCCCTCTTGCAAACCCAAGAGAAACAGTGCTAGAGTCTTGTGCTCGTTTGCTGACACAGCTTGGATTTTTGTAATGAGATGGAATATAACAGGCTTAAATAAAGTTCAGCTTGAGAAAAGGTGCTTTTAAATAAAATAATTTATCTCTTTGTTTTTCTTTTTTTTTATTTTCAATTGAGAATTAGTTGCTTGCTCCTCCCAAGTATAGGCTGTATGTGTAGTGTAGAAATTTACATGGAAATGAGTAGTTTCTAGACAGACTTAGTAATATGTCAAAGATAAAGCAGTTCTAATGCAGTATTTCAAGAAATAACAATGGAAGACCCTCCATGAATGTGCATAATTTATTATAAAATATAAATATGAAGATTACAATTTGCTTGGTTTTTTTTTTGTTTTTTTTTTTAAATCTGTTTAAGGTGCAATTCTGTGCATTTTTAAACCAGTAAGTTGTAGAGCCTTTTGTTGGAGGAGGATTCCCTCCAAGAAGAAAAGATTGGTACTCTTGCTTGTTTAAAATACTAGCATTGTGTGAACTTCTGTTACCTTCAATTTCCTCATTCCTGTTACTATACATTATATTAGTTTAAGAACTTGAGGATGTTGTAGTCACTTCCACCACTTTGTGGCTGCTTTGGTGGTGGTTCTTCTATGATGATGATGATGTCTACATTATTTATTCTAAAATGACAGATCTTTGAGACCCTAGGCCAATATTACGATACATAAGAGAATTGCATAGAGGTTGTATATGCACAGTTGTAAACTGTCTTTTCAGATATGACTAAAATGCTTCTTCAGTTTGTTAGGTGAGATTAGGGAAGTGTGTATGCACATGTGTGAGAAAAGGTTTGTGACTTGCTTCTACAGAATGAAGGCCAGAAATGGGACCTTGTTTCCATTAATCTAGCTCAAGGAATGGGTCAGCAAACTACGAGGGGGTCTAGCATGTCAAATTTACTTCCTGTAGTTGCTGTTTACAATCCTGTGCAGTTGAGTAACTTCATAAACAATGGGGGCAAGAAAGATGCTCAGAAGGCTGGAACAGCTCTCCTGTGAAGATAGGCTGAGAGAATTTGGGTTGTCCAGACTGGAGCAGAGAAGGCCCTGACAAGACCTTGTAACAGCCTTCCAGTACCTGTGGGGGCCTACAGAAAAGATGGGGAGAGGCTTTTTACAAAGGCTTGTACTGACAGGATAAGGGCTAATGGCTTTGTTCCTTGTCAGCTATATATGCAAGAGATCATGTTTCCGTTCTGTGTCACTAGAATTGTAAATTATTTACTGTTACGGATGAACCATAGTTTTCAACATCAACAGAAAAGTGGTTCTCCATTTCTCTTCCCAATGATGAAAAATCATCAGCCAGTTGCACATGTGGCTGCCATCACATGTGCTTTTTAGCAGTGCACCTCTTAAAATTGGCAATGAGAGAGCCTTGGTTGACCTTTCTACCTATCCCAAAGAGGAAATGCAAGTCATTCTCTTTCAACTATATTAATAGATTAGAGGTGTGGTGCAAGATGATACCTTTGCTTTTGGTTGGGGGTGGGAAAGGGTGCCACCTCAGTCTCTGACTCACTGCTTCTCTCTCGTGATGCTGCAGAAGTTCTGTACTCCCCTTAGCAGCACATTTGGCCTAGTGCCCAGGTGGCCAAGAACGCCAACAGCATCCTGGCCTGCATCAGGAATGGTGTGGCCAGCAGGAGCAGGAAAATGATTGTGTCCCTGTACCCGGCGCTGGTGAGGCTGCACCTCGTGTGCTGTGTTCACTTCTGGGCCCCTCACTGTAAGAAGGACACTGAGGTGCTGGAGCACATCCAGAGGAGAGCTACCAAGCTGCTGAAGGGACTAGAGAACAAGTCATACGAGGAGTGGCTGAGGGAACTGGGAATGTTTAGCCTGAAGAAAAGGTGGCTGAGGGGAGACCTCATCTCCCTTCCAGATGAGCATGCACGTAGTGGTGTTTTTGTGTAGAACAAGTGATTTGCCACAAGTTCTT